AAGAGTTACGTCTTCATATTTGTTTTGAAAGCACGTTCATAGATACAAGTTATAACCCAATCCCATAACTCAACTCACTATACACACTTATACAATAACACATCTACTATCTTCCCTGGCCACAGGCCCAAGGGCAAAATACACCCATAACTAAAATACCGAGAAACATATATTTCTAAATATAATTAACTAAACATAATACATACTTTCATTTCCACCGACCTATAGCACGGATGACAAATGATACAACCCAAATAACACATAACGCTTTACCGGCCTCACCCGGAGAGGAACAACCCCAAGGTCACACTTTACCCAGTGCAAACCAGAAGGAAGAGGAACCTATCTCAAGGCGCCATGCTTTACCAGCCTCTTGGGGAGAAATGAACCTCAATTTCACACTTTACCGAGTGCAATTTGGAAGGGAGAGGAACCTCTAGCAAGGCACCATGCTTTACCGGCTTAACAAGAGAGAAACGGACCTCCCAAACAACATCCAAGCAATAACACAACATGCTAAACTACTAAAATACCGTACAAGTGTAAAACATACATATAATTCATACAACAATAACGTCACCCTCCACCAATGACTAATGACAAAACCTCTAAACAGATAAATAAATGACCCTCATGAATTAGATTCGCAATTTCAAGGCATCAACATTACAATTAACCATATTCCCATTTCATTTCATAAAAGAGTTAGACTCATCATTTTATGTTCAAAAACCAAACCGGTTATTCCAAACCCTCAACATTTCCAAACCATAGCTAAACCTCTTTTTGTTTAACAAAAATCTCATTTTTAGTAACCAAACATTAATTCAATTCTCTAAAGCATTTGTTCAATCTCACAACTCATAACCCACTTATTACCCAACTTTAACCCTTTTTGTTTACGAACTCTTAATAATAAATTAGGGCTTTTCAACACAATCAACATAGACATGATTTACCTCCCAACATACCAAATCAACCATCAATCATACAATTCCATCTCTTAAAGCTCAAACCCCAAATCCCCTTTCATGCTTTTGGAAATTCTCTTAACAAACATATTATTAAATACAATAAAAACTACCACATGTCTATCTACAAAAAGGTATTGAAGAGGAGCAAAAGAATCCCTACCTTTTGAAGTGAAGAAGAGACAACCTAAAAATTACCAGCAACAAAATGACGATCCACTCAGATTAAATAGAAGCTCTCGCCGAGCTCTAAATTTTGGTATATGGAACTAGGGGTCAAAGATGTTTAGAAATAGATGAAATCAATGTTAAAAAATTTGAAAACTCAAAAATGGCAAACAGAGAGAGAAGAGAGAGTGAAAAGTGAAGAGATTTGACCCAAAAAGTGACTTTTAAAGATATGATTCTAGACAGATCGTTCGAGCGGTCAAAAGTGCGCTCGAGCAGTAAATCGAGGCTTCCAGTATCTCAAAATTTTTTGAAAAATAGACCTGGAAGGGTCTATGAACCACTCGAGTGGTGAAGGTGCGCTCGAAAGAACTATGTACACAACACAAATTTGCAAACTTCAAACAGACATAACTCACTTGTCCGGACTCCGTTTAGGGTCGTTTTTGTGTCCAAATTGAAGCCCCCGAAATAAGCTTTCCAATGATTCTAGTCTCACATCAAGATTAAAAGTGTGAAGAGAGAAAATGATAAAAGAGTGAAGATTACTCAACAACTATTCGAATTTGGAGTTTTTAATCCAACCTCACCCAACTACTATGATAACACCTCAATTAAGGCTCAAATATCGACTACGAACGTTCATAATCATGATAATGATAGAGTCAAATATAATTCCATTATACGAAGAAGCATAGAGTACTACTAAAACCAACCATATTGACAAATTTTTTTATTTTTTTATTTTTGTCAATTGGCAAGAAAATATTGACATTTATAAATATCAACAGAATTACGCAAGCTAGAAGTACTTCAAAATCCTAAAAACGTCATAATATAAACAACCCTTATGAAAAACACGACCATCAATATAAATCCACAAAAAAAAAAAAAAACAAAACAAAACAAAACAAAAGGAGAAAACTGAAATGGATAATCTAATATTTAGTGTATATTTTAACACTTAACATGCGATTGTTTGCATAATCAATCACTTTTTCATAAATAAAAAATAAATGAAACTTAATCTGAGAGAGAGAGAGAGAGAGAGGAAGCCAAAACTGGAACTTGATTTGAATGAAAATGAAAAACCTATACAAAAGGAACCTAAAATCCAAAGCACTACACAAAAATATGAAAATATGATAAACCTAACAATAAGATTTTCAAACACATACACATATCAAGGGAAACAATCTATGTACAATATCCAGAAAAATACCTAACAATTCAACAAATCAATAAATTGATAACCGACACATATCTTTGATTAATTCCTTGCAAAAAAATCTGAACATACAACTCGATAATTTTAACATTTAGAAAAAGAAAAATTCCAATGATTTGATCAATTAGTAACCAATAATCAATTTAGGGTTCAAGACTAAAAACAAAAAACAGGATTGAGGGTGTGATTCAATAATCAATGTAGATTCAAGATTAAAAATAAAAAATAGAACTCAGGGTGTGATTGAAACCAAAATATGAGGTGTTTATGAGTGAAATGAGCAAACCTTTCTATGCTTGTTCGGTTTGCACTTCAATCGCAACCGAGAAACCAATGTTTTTAAAATTGAACTGGATTGACTAGTTCGACAGGTTGGTCCGTCTAGGTTCCGGTTTGGGTACACCCCTAAACCCGTTCTGTCTTGAAACCCGGTCAATTTTAGCTAAACCAGACAAACCCCGCTAGGTTCGGAAACCTTCCAAGCATGCTTATTAATTGATGAAAATAGTTGCTCCCAAGAGTCGTACGCAGCACCACGAGTCGAAACCCATGCTTATCTCCATTGCACCACCGTATCTCCTTGTTGATATATGAAACCAAAATGAGGTATTTATGAGTGAAATGGGCAAACCTTTCCATACTTGGCAGTTTGCACTTCAATCGCAACCGAGAAACCAATGTTTTTAAAATCGAACTGGATTGGCCAGTTTGACAGGTTGGCTCGTCTAGGTTTTGGTCTGGGTACACCCCTAAACTCGTTCTGTCTTGAAACCTAGTCAAATTTAACTGAACCAGACAAACCCCGCTAGGTTCGGAAACCTTCCAGAAACCAATGTTTTTAAAATCGAACTGGATTGGCCAATTCGACAGGTTGGCCTGTCTAGGTTCCAGTCTGGGTACACCCCTAAACTCATTCTGTCTTGAAACCCAGTCAATTTTAGCTAAACCAGACAAACCCCGCTAGGTTCAGAAACCTTCCAAGCCCCCTTATTAATTGATGAAAATAGCTGCTCCCAGGAGTCGTACGCAGCACCACGAGTCGAAACGCATGCTTATCTCCATTGCACCACCGTATCTCCTTCTTGATATATATAGTAATCAAAATATTATTTATGGTATTTAGCGCATTTATTCCAAATAAGTATATATTTAACAATTAACCGATATGTCATCTTTAACTTTTGGTTATATTTGCTAAATATATATTTTAATAACATTTTCTTTCAAACATTATATATAATTAATATATTTAACAAAAATAAAAATAAATATATTTATGTAATGTACCTTAAAATAGTAAAATAATTTAAACAAATGTATCTTAATTCTTGTATTATTATTATTAAATAATTTTTAATATATTTATAAAATAATTATGAGGTCATGGTTCGATTCCAGTTTGACTCGACGATTGAATCAGTAATCCATCCACCCGATCCCTTTTTTGATTCCCTTACTAGTCCGATTTTTAAAATAATGTGAGAAACTACTCTACTGGTCGATCAGGATAGGGTTTGAGAAGGGGATGGTGACAAAAGGAGAGGAGAAACTGAAATAATGAGAGAGGAAACAGAGTGGTGTTCTCTTTGAGAGAAACAAAACGAATAACGTCTTCGAGAGAGGAAAGAGGCAGCTGTCTAAGAGATGGAGGAGGCGTGTCCTGTACTTTATTTTGGCGCCGTTTGATACAGCTTATTACAAGTTAAAAGTTGATAATCAGAAAGCAGAAACTAAAAATATCCCTTTCTCAGCTTTTAAATAATCAGTTTTTCTTAACTTATTTAAACTATTTATACCTAAAAAGCTATAAGCAGAAACTGCACCAAATAGTCTTGTACAGATTTCTAAATTAAAATAACCTGCAATCACCCCTTATAATTCACACCAAACACCCGCTTTATGGGCTAGGAAAGCAGCAATCCAATTTATTTTGCTGAAACCGTTGACTTGAGTTGGATTAATCTCAGTCGTCCTAGCCAATTATCAGAGGTAGACATTTTTTAAAACAAAGTTACCTTATTATATAGATGAGCCTGAGCCACGAATCTTAATATTGGGGCCCAAAATATAGTGTGCCCATACTTCCTTACACATCCTCCAGCTGCAGCCTAATTGGACATGATCAAACCAAATAGGAAAATTATACAAAATTATTAAATTTTATATAAAACTTTCTTAATATTATGTCATGGGAAACTTTAGAGATAGAAATCGAATCCATTTTAATGATAAGATAAGTTCCACATCAATAAAAAAAAAAATTAATAAATTTTGTTAATTTGTATATCATTATTGGACTAAAATTTATCATTTTATTATTTTCTTGGCAGCAAATGATGTGGCTTCCACACCTCCTGCATAGATGGAACGCTAAGGATCAAGTTAGTTAGGTGTTGTTTGGTAGAGTTTATGAGTTTATAAAAAATAAAAAATAAATCATTGTGCAAATCTTTAATGTATAAAAATAGTTTAAATAAGTTTAAAAAAATTAATTATTAAAACGTAGAAAGAATAATATTTTAATTCTTGTTTCTTGATTATCGTTTTTTAGCTTTAGGAGGCTCCACCAAATATGCCCTTAATGTAGCTATAAATAAAGTGAGAAAACATACAATGTAGTGATTGCTAAATTTTTATATTAAATTTGTTCATTAAATAGAATCAAATACATAAAGTATAAGTGAAACAATTTGAATGAAGCAGTTTTCTATATGAAATATCTTTCTGTGATCAGTTATGTATCCCTATCTCTAATTTTATTGAATGATAAGTCATCATTGAATTAGTGGAATGAATCACACCTTAAAGTGGCTCCTCATTCCATAAATAAATTTAGTACAAAAGTATTTAATCACATTAACTTCAAAAGAATGGTGGGTTCTCAAAAGAAAAGGTTGGATCAAATAGATCCAAGGCACCAAATGGGAAGTCCAAGCCAACAGTAGAAGAGTTGGTAGCTGATGCTGCTGAAACTATCTCCATGAGCTGTTCAGACTCTGAAGCCATCACAGTTTGGTTCCAATCCCCTACAAAGCCGCCCATTTGGGTTGCTGCAGATGTTGAAGGAGACACTAACAAAGGATGATACAAATTACCCACAAAATTGTTATCAACCATGGAAGCTGAGTCAACATAGTTCTTGACCATAACATTTGACACAGAACAAGGCAAGTACAATGAAGGAATTGATTGGTCGCGTGTACTACTGTCTAGTTCTGTTTGAAAGTTGAACTGTATTTCGCATGACTGTTGCTGGTAATTTTGTTGAGACATGTTTGGTTGTTCTTGTTTGTCGGGTAATGCTGCTGCTGCTGATGGAGCAGTTATCAAAGTGCAGGTGTGCCTTCCTCTGTAAGTGATTTCATACAATGTTGGGTCTTCATCTGATCTTTGTATTTGTTTTGTTGCCAAACAACCTTGGACATTACGATGAGTGCACCTATAGTAGCCTCTGCAATATATAGAAAAATCTAGTCTTTGTTAATTTTGATAAGAATACAAGAGATGGAATTGAAATGCGTTCCTACTCTGTGGCGTTTCGACAGCATCATGGCAACTAAATCTGTGTTAAAAGTAGTTGAAAGATAAAGAATAACTCACCTAACGTGTTTTTTGATTTAATGTCATAGTACAAACACATGTCTACTATCTAGGTTACTGTGAATTCAATACAAATTCAATCTATACCAAATGCGCCAAATGAGATGCTTGACTATGTGATCCATTTAATGATTTGTCATTAAATGATATGATATCATCGTTATAATCAATTTTTCTCGTACTTAACCATAAGTATAAAGTAAATTTCAAATATATGCAATTACTTACCAATCACATGTATTAGATAAGTTTAGACACATAAAAAAATATCAGTCAGAACGTTTGAATTTATGATTTGCTCTAAGTACTCTTACCAATCAAGCTACGAGTTGACCTTAAACACTTTTGAATTGGTAAGCTAATGACAAGAAGAGTTTTTTTTTAATTTTTTTTGAGCATGTGATGACGAAAAGAATTTCAAGGCTTATCAGATGTTGTCTGAGAATGTTACAGTTCATAGTATTAGTAAAACTGTGTTCTCTTATGTCATATAAAGCATAGATCATCAAAAGCTTAAGCTGGTCCACATATATATATACCTAGGATATTTGGCCCCAAGAATGTCTTTCTGCCCATATTTCCTCCAATTATAGCCATCATCAAGACACCCTTCAAGTCCAGGCCCTGGGCAAACTTGCACTTGTTTTGTCCAGCGTACCATACTCTTCCTACAAACATAAAAATTCAAACAAATTAATTGGGACCAATCAAAAACCAGAAACATAGAAACAAAAGAAACTGCTAAGCTCATATCTATATACATATATATATATATATATATAATATAATTCACCTTTTTTTAGAAACATGTTTGTGTTCATGATCCTTAAAATCCTTGTCAGAATCTTCGCTATGCGGGGATTCAGCCATTCCCATTGCTGCTGCAGTGGGCTGTGTCTCTCCATTCAATTTCAGCATTGAGAGCGCCTTATCGTATGAATTTAGGATTTTGTGAACTAACAATTCACGGGTATCGTGTGGTGAAGTAGTCACATTGAGATGTATTTGGAGCTGCTTAGCTAGCTCCATCCCTTGTGTCAGCTCATTAATCAGATTCTCTTGCTCCCAATCTGCTGAGTTCTCCATTTATAAAAGCCACCCCAAGTACGCCAAAATGTGAAATGAAGAATAAACAAAAGGGAGAAAACTTAAGGAATAGGGAGGTTGAGTGAGGCTTGCGTTTTGCTCTTTGCATATAAGGGAGAGGCCTCTCTTTTTTTGAATGGAGAAATTGAGGGAAGGAGAGAGATATATAGAAGAAGAGGAGGGAGAGAGAGAAAGAGGTTTGACTGAAAAAAGTTGAGAGCTTTTTCTTCAATAAGACTGGTCTTTGGTCATAGGAACTCTGGTTGGAGTGTGGAATGGAAGTCTAATTTTATTCCAAAGCACCGAAAAAAAAAAGAAGAAGAAAAGTCCAATTGCTGACCTTTTGATTTCTGGAGTTCTAAAAAAATCATCTTAGTTTTCATTTAATTTTTTGGAGTTCTAAAAAAATCATCTTAGTTTTCATTTAATTCTTTTAAAAACAATAAAATCCAAATATAACTTTGACGGTCTATATTTCATCACACCAATTTTTTAATAAAATGTTATTCAAATTAACAAAAACTAGTGTTTCAATAATAATAGTAGTAGTAGTAGAATTCCATTTGAATAATATGATTGGTGTCACGAGTAAAAAAAAGTTATAAAATTTGTCAATTTATATATCTACCTATATAATCTATATTATTTATCTATACTATTATATATGGGAGTATATGACTTGGTGTCTAATAGTATGATGGCGTATTCTTCCGTCATGTGACAAATTTTTCTATCCTCAAATAAAAAAATATTATTCTAAAATAAAAAAAAATATTATTAAAATATATTATTTATCTATACTATTATATATGGGAGTATATGACTTGGTGTCTAATAGTGTGGTGGCTTATTCTTCTGTCACGTGACAAATTTTTCTATATATTATTAAAATGTATGAGTAAGATTTGAACCTAACACACATTGGATTTCATTAAGAATAATCTTACCATTTAGACAATATACATATTATGATATTAATTTATTTATTATTTGTTTTTATTCTTACTTATCTGAATTGCACACGCGTTGTTTGTGCCACCCACTAGTTATTATTAAAAGTAAGCAACTCACTTGGTGTCCAAATTTTAGTGACTTCTCCTTACACCACACGTCCTCATTTTTTTATTTAAAATATATTTATATATATTAGATAGTTAACAAGAATATGATCTGAACCTTAAACTTTGAATTAATAAACAATATTCTTACCACTTACATATCATACCATATATAATAAAAGTTTAATTTTATTTTTATTTATTTTAATTACACATGCATCACATATGCTAAACGCGGATCATATAATGGTTTAACTACAATTTTATAATATTTTGATAGCAGATACATACTCAATATAATACATATCACGTCAAATAATATATAATAAATATAAGGGAGACTTATTTATAAGTCATTTTTCAGACACTTATAGTAGGCTAAGTCCTGTATAATTTCTTATAGGGTCTCAAGTCCTATTTAGATAGGAATGTATTCCACAAGATCCTACATAAACGTAACGTGACGTGACACTTACATAAACGTAACGTAACGTGACACCTATATAAATGTAACGTAACGTGACAACTTAATGAGTTTTTATTTTTTTAAATTGAATGTGAAAATGTTGCTGGTTTATATTAGTGTCACGTTACGTTTTATATAAATATGATCTGTGATAACATTCAATTTCCTATATAGGAAATTGAATGTTGCCATAGATCATAGGTGTCATGTTACGTTTATGTAGGTGTCACGTTACGTTACGTTTATGTAGATATGATCTATGGTAACATTCAAGTTCTTAATCATAGGTGTCACGTTACGTTTATGTAAGTGTCCTGTTATGTTACGTTTATATAGATATATAAGAAATTGCATGTTACCATAGATCATAGGTGTCACATTACGTATAGGTGTCACGTTACGTTTATATAGGTGTCACGTTACGTATAGGTGTCATGTTACGTTTATATAGGTATCACGTTATGTTACATTTATATAGATATGATCTATGGTAACATTCAATTTCCTATATATGGTTTTACTATTATTTATGATATTAACAACTAATATTGAGGGTAAATGTGTCAACAAATTTTCCACAGGACTTATGGGAACATAAATTTTTTAGTAGGACCATATGTAGCATAAGTCTCCCTAATAAGACTTATAAATAATTTTTTATAATATTAATTTTTGTTTGTTATATATTGTTTTTGGCGTTAACATGTTTTTTAGCATTCGAGAAGGCATGGCATGAATTAGAAAGAGGTTCGAAGAAATCTTCAAAACCATGTTCCGCGTGACTACTTTACCACTTAACCATGTCGATATCTTCTTATTCACATGCCGTGACTCTGTTCACGTCTCCACCATGGATTTGTGAGCAAATCTTTTCCCTTCTAGTCGAGTTAAATATTTCCGATAGATCAGGTTTGTTCCTAACTCTAAGATTCATTCACAGATAGTTGTGCCATTGGGGCTTTGATTTCAAAACCCTAACCCTCATTGAATATCTATCTAATATTAAGGTTTGTTCTCAATCAAAATTAACATCGGTTCTCAATCATATTCACATTTGTTTAATTGCTTTCTCTTTGCTATAACATTATACGTCTACATGCTGATTAAACACAGACAGCTCAAGCTTTTTTGGGCTACAAAATTACTTTGTTAAGTTTTTAGTATTTTCTTTTTTTAAGTTTGGCATATCCAAATTTATAGTAAAAGAAAATTTATAGTAAAATAATATAATCTAATTGGTGTATTTACTTACCTTCAAATGATTTGTGGATCGAGCTTGAATTTAGCTTCAATGGTGTTGTTTGATAGAATAATTTATCTGGGTCTTGTTTTGATCATATGATTATCTTATGAAAACTAATAGATATGTAAGAAATTGTAGACCTTGTTTGAGCTTCTGATTAATATGTTAGAATCAAAAGAGCCTTCTTTGATTGTTTAGTACTTCCTGATATGAAATTTTGGATTTGAAAGTTGTTTGCAAGATTAGTGTGATATGGGAAAACCCAACTCATCTGAACACTCTTGTTCAATTAAATTAGATTTTTATGAAAATTTTCTGAAAAAAAAATATTTCAACTTAGGCTACCTGAATACAAGTGCAACCAATTTTCTTGATGAATTCTTCGAAAATTGTTATCTAGAAAAACATTTCCTTGTGTGTATGTGTATTGTGGTTTTAATAAACCCTTTGATAATGATACTCTTGAACATTGTTTAGAGATTAAGTGATAATACTTGTTGTTTACCCCTTTTTTGGTTTACTGGAAACTTACTTCCCTATGAGAAATGTTACTTTCTCATATCTGTACATTTAAGAAATACATATATATACACACATAGGGATAACATATCATATGCATATAGGTATGTATATATGCATACATATAATCTACCCTTATACCCATTAATTTTCTTGATTGTTTGTATCGATCTCTAGACCTTGAAATCATATATTTAATAAATTAGTAATTATATCTCTTGTATTAAATTTATTTTTTTTTTTACCAATTTTTAGATTTACGATGAATCTCCTGCATCTAATTAGGTAGCATAATGGGGAAATGAGGAGTGGTATCTAGAAGACTCAAGACTAATTGCCCTTAGTAAATGGTTTTGTGTTATCGACTCTTCAGGTAAACATTATTTGACCTTCTCTCTTGACTTTTCAAAGAGTCAAACATTATTTGACCTTCTCTCTTGACTTTTCAATTGAAGTTGCTTTTAAATAGGAAAATTTGTGAAAGTTTTCCATTTGTTATTCCTTTTGTTTTCAACTATTCTTATTGAAATTTTAGTACCTATGACTCATCAATTATGCCAATAGGCCATTGACAGAACTTACCCATGCTTTTGGAAGTTTGGCAGTGTTGCAATTGCAAATTAAAACCTTTCAATGGGTATGACAACAAAAAAATAAAATAAAATAATGGTTTTGGAAAATATGTCTGCATCACTTGTGTGTTCTATTCATTTGTGCTATTACAGATTCTGTACTTTTTTTCTTACAGAAAACATGTTGCTATTGTTTGATTATTGAAAGAAAAGGGTAAAAATTGACTTATAAAATTGTCCAATTATTTCAAGATGGTATAGAGCATCTTGGACGTGGTCTAATGGGAACATTCTAGTGTAAGCTGTAGAAATGTTTTAATTTTTATGGTTGTGCTCAAGTCCATCCTGGGGTTCTTAGTGAGAGAATTTATTTAAATTCTTTTTTTTATTAATATTTTTTTTATGGGGCTTTTGTGAATTTTATAGTAGTTGCAATGTGAAAGCATAATGTAGAATTGCCTTTGATGTTGTTAAACTGTTGCTACTGATCAAGTAACATGTGAAAATCTAGGTAATACCCTATGAGGTTTGAATGTTTTTTTCAGATTAACTTCTCCCTGCAATTGCATGTTTCATAAGAAACACAACTGTGTATCATCACCCATTAGGTACACAACAACCACATTGATTTTTGTTGCTATAGAGCATTGTTGGATGTCATCAATTTAATTTAATAGGTACTGGTAAAAAAAAATAACATTTACTAGTTTTCCCAAATGCATAAAGTTCAATTCAAAATTGATTCCGCATAGAAAATTGTATTTTGCATCCAAGCTTTAATGTTCAACGATATTTGTTATTATTAATTTGTCAGACATGTCCACCGGAAACTAGCTTATTGGTTAGTCTACTATATACACCAATATTCCATCCACCAATTGTGTTACTTATTATTGGTTAGTCTCTTGTATACATGGAAAAAATGGATTGCGAGTATGGAAGAGTTAGGGGAAAGGAACCCGGTCAACTTTAACATGTGATCAAAGAATCCAAGAATTTTAACTATTGGTAATTTCCTTTCATGTAAAATTTACATCTTGGCAATCCTCTTTGAACAAATTTGGCTTTTGTTTAATTGTTTGCATAAAAATTGGTATATTAACCTTTGGTTCCATCACCCAAGAAATAAATAAAAATTTGCTTTTTTAGGTTCAAATGTGAAATCTTGACTCACAAGTGATATAGAATGGAGTTTTGATTCCTGAGTTTAATTTGGAGAAGCATTTGTTGAATTTTATTTATTGAATCTTATTTCATTTCTTCTTTGTTCTTCCTTTTCTTATTTGAATTTTTTTCTGGCACTTTTATATAGTTAAAAAAAAGAGTAATAGTGATGAGTGACTAGACTTTTCTTTCGTTATTTTTTTTCTTATTAAATGCATGTCTTCGAATTAGATTTTCAAAAGACGAGTGATCAAAGCAAATATTTGGTCATTGTAGGCTTTGTGAAAGCAGGTTGATGAGATATGGTATGCAGATAAGAGTATGAATCGAAGAGCTTGTTGAAGGAACACTAAAAGAGGCTCACTGACATCAAATTGGGTATTAAATATTCAGAACTGCATGTTTTTTCTTAGATTTGCACACATGTAAATATGCACAAGTGCCTTCTCTTCGAGATCAAGTTTATATTTCTGGATTGGGTTGTGATTCTTGGCAATGGTTTCCATATAACAATTGAATTGTATTGACAATGTTTAGATTGGATCAAAATGAGTTTAAAATTCTTTTCTTGGTATTGTAATGGCTATACGGGTTTTGATAATCTTCATGTGTTTGATAATGTATTTTGTGTTATACAAATCTAGTGTTTTTACCAATCAAGTGTGAGATTGTGTTTTGATGTTAGTTAATTGAAAGTTCAATAAATCGAAGGTCTAATACTCTGTCTGGTTTTGTTTTCAATTGTCATAATCTAAAAACGGAGACTTTATTGGTTTTTTCATATCTTAATTCCTTGAGAACTAAGAGCAAAAGAAATCAATTTGTCTTGAAAGTTGGAATCATTTTAGCTCGCAAATGGGGCTTTGTTTTTCTTACTAATGCTAGGTACTAAGCTGCTACATTTTTTTATCAAACCTCATAGTGATTCTTATTGATATGTGATTAGTTTCCTAATTGCTAAGGCCTTGTTTGGGAACAGACTATTTTAGTAATTTTTTAACTTTTAAGTTAAAATATGAGATAAAAAAAATTAGCATGTTTAGAATGACTTTTTGATTTTTTACGAAAAGATGTGCAAAAAGTAGAGAGAAAAAGGAATTTTGAATTTTTAGTGTAAGTTATAGACTTTTTGATTTTTTTAGTAACTTTTTTACTTTTAGGCTAAAATATGAGTATCCCAAACGACGCTTAAGTTAAACTTAGATTTTTATGATTTTTCAAAATATTTTGGTGAATTTTTTTTATATATAATTTATTGATTTATGTGACTAAAAAATAGTCAACATGACTTTTATATGTTTGCTTTGTCAAGGTCTTCGCTTTCTGATAATGTGTTGGTTTCTTGTATATCCACCTCGTATTATGAACTATTTCATGTTTTGTCAAGGCATTTCGGCCATGTTTGTTTGGGTGGACATGAGCTTGGGATTGGACTAATAGTCCAATAAAATTATTAATCCGATGTTTGGTTAAACAATTGAAATACGGACTAATTATTTTAAACTTGACTATTAGTTAAGATAGGATACATAATCCAACGGATTCGTAGTCCTAGGACTATTAGTCATGGAAATGCTAATCCAATCCGCCCAAACAAACATGACCTTCATGTTTTGTTAAGGCCTTAGATTAGAGTGACCTGAATTAATAATAAACCTGCAGAGTAAGATGACCCTTGAGAAAAACTGTGGTTAGGCAGATTATCGGCTCAGAATAAAATCAAATGGAACAATCTTACATTTCACTATATCTGCTGTGTTCGTCCTCCAAGACAAGACGTGTGAGTATGTTCTAATTTTGTTTTACAAAATGGGAACCAAGTGTGTCTAATTTTTTTTTTTAACAAAATGGGAACAAAGTTAGGCAATAATCAAACACTTCGTGAGCATGTTCCAGTTGTTTCTGATGAGTTTATCACTTGAATATAGAAGTCTCGTTTGGGAAGTGGCTATTTTAGAGACTTTTTGGCTTTTTAACTATTTTAGTAGGTTATTTTAGTTTTTGTGTTTGGAAAGATGAAATAGATTTTTATTTGAGTTGTTGTATTGAAAAATGTGTTAAAATGATGTTTGAAGTTAAAATGACAAATTTATCCCTAAAATTACAATTTTTTAAATTGATGTAAAGGGACAAAATCGTAATTTACCAAGTGATGTAACAATTTGTCAACTGCACCTATTTTTTTTTTTTTTTTAATAAAAAGGGTTGAACAGTGAAACTTTTTGACTTATTTTTAATTTGGGACTATATTAATCTGAATCCTTGTTTCCCAAACAGCGCCAGAATCAAACACATGGTGGTGGGCAGAATTTTAACAAATGTAAAAAAATAACTTCACTTGTGTAACAAGCCTAGGTGAAAAGTTGCACCATCACACGTGGCAAGAGGTGATGCAGAGCTGGCTGGAGAAGCTGCAATTGACACACAGCTTGTTGGAGAAACCTCAATTGATGAAGAGCGATCTTCAAAGAGGGTGAATTTGCCATTTCAACTGAGTTAAATACACTGATGTTAATCACAGATTTTCATGTTTTCTTTTTTTATAGATAGGTCATAGATTTTTTTTGATGTTAATCACAGATTTTCATGTTTTCTTTTTTTATAGATAGGTCATAGATTTTTTTTTAAAATTTAAAATTTTAATTTTTATTATGAACTGGACTTATTTATAAGGCATGTTAAATTTATTATTATAAAAATATTTAATGAATATAATTCAATCACTTACATTTTTTAAATCATAATTCGATACAAATTAACACAACTAAATTAAAAAAACAAATCATAAACAAAAATTAAAACATTTTAATAAAATTTTCAATATTATTAGATATATTAAATGATCATTTCAACATATCTCTAAAAAAGTCTTGAAAAAAATTCATTATTAAAACAAATGATAAAAGGAAATTTTATTAATAAGTGTGGTTGTGAGGGTGTTTAGGAAGAAAGCTTTTAAGTTTTTTTTAAGCTAAAATCTATAAAAGGGTAAAATAAATTAAAATAATTAATAAAATAAAATATCACATCAAATTCATAATTATTTTAATTTTTTTTCACAAACATCATATCTAACTATAAGAAAATTCAATTATTTTTTTAAACACAAAAATTGTAACCTATTAAAATAGAGTAAAGTTAGAGATTCCAAAAATTTTATTAAAAATTTTATCAAATGTCTTATATAGATGTAGAAACTACACAATGTAAGTTCCACACAATATAGATCTCACAGCTATATGATACATATGATAAAATTTTTAATAAAATTTTTAATACATCTAATATTTTTATATAAAAAAAAAATAAAAAAAACTAAGGTAACTTCCAAAACACCCCAGTGTATGTGTCGGGAATGGGGACCCGCCCATTTCCCCATATGTTAGGGTTCTCTTTCTCAATCTCATTCTCACTCTCACTCTCACATAGCAGCGAAGGCAACAATTTCCATAGGTTTTGCAAAGGCAACGATCTAGCGGCGGCGATCTCCGTCGGCGTTACCACGGTGGTTCTCCGGCGTGGTGAGTTTCTCTATCTCGTTCTCTCTTTCTCTCTTGTTCTGTGTGTGTTTACAAATTCATCTATTCGTCACTTTCTCAACTTCCAAACAGAGTTGTTGCTTCACAGAGTTGTTGGCACTCTTTTGCAATTGGCGAAACCTGTCGAAAAGACTTACGCACCAATCAGCAGAAAATACGGTTAGCTTCACAGAGTTGTTGCTTTGATTCATGGAAATTTTAACTTAATGTTGTTCAAAGCTATGGATTTAAATCAGTTGTGAATTCTGATGCATTTGGAAATTGTTAGCTTTGATTTATCATGTGGAAGATGAAATTGATTTACTGTCTATTTATTTTCTTGGGACTTTGCTATGTTATGTTATGTTAAAAGGGTTTAGGGTCAAAATGGATTGCATAAAAGCTTTGTTACAAAAATGGCAATTGCCTCTGCAAATGATCAAGATCAATATAGCTACTCCTTAAGTTTTTAAGCAAATAGGTCATCTGTGTTTTGATGATTGGTTGCTTTATATTGTCAAAACAAAATGAGTGTTTTAACGTTTCCATTGAATAAGAAGAGAGAGAGAGAGAGAGAGAGAGAGAGAAGAGAATGTTGAGTGGAAAGTTGATCCCTTTTAGCTTGTAGAGACAGCAATAGGGGTTTTTAGAGAGAGAGAGACAGAGAGAGACAGAGAGTCTTGGGATTTTAGGGATTGTTTCAGGTACTAATCCAATCTTTCAATTTTACTTTCATCAATTATTGATCAATACTGTTGAATTTTCACTTTGTTGTGTTGATCAGCTGTTGAATTGGCTAATGCTCCTCTGTTCATGTAAAACTAATAAAAGAATGGATCCATTCTCCTAAGATCTGAAAAAATAAAATAAAATAATGAAGAAAAGAAATCCCTGGGTGTTGATCAGCTGTTGAATTGGCTAATTCTCATCTGTTCACGGTGTATGTATTGTTTTTAATTCCATTCTATTCTTTTTCTCTTGACTCGATCTTATGCTCGTGGGTGTTTGGGAAGTGAGTTGTTTTTGTAGGTTTTTTTAATTGTAGGGTATTATTAGAAAAAAAAAAAAAATTGTGTTTGGGAAGATAATTGGGTTTTTTTATGGTTGGATGTGATGTTTGTAAGAGGAAAAATGAAATAATTATGGAATTTGATGTGATATTTTATTTGAATTTATTTTTTTAATTTCGTTATTAATTTGTCATTTAGTGAAAAAAAATCAAAAAAAACCAAAAAACTTCCCAAACACCCCCAAACCTCATATCCCCTCCCTCACGCACTCACTCACTCACTCACTCTTCTCTCGCTGTCTCTCGTTTCTGCAAACACTCTCACGTGTCTCTCTAGTACCTTTTCACATGAACAGGAGAACACTCAACTCTTCCTCTTGCCGAGGCCTTCTAGTAAGTTCTTCTCTCTCTCTCTCTCTCTCTCTCATTCTTTGCTCATCTCCTTAATTTTTTCAATTGTAGAAACCCTAGCCTGTGATTTTTTTTTTTTTTTTTTTGGTATCCAACATTTTTGTTTGCTTTTTGGGGCTTTTTTTTTTTTTTTTAAATTTTTTTTTTTTTTTTAAAATTAAAAAAAAGAAAAAAAAAAAAGAAGTAGTTGTTAGGTCATCAAACGTTGAGGGTAAACAAAAAATCTGAGTGTGTGCTAACTTGACCGTCGGAGGGGTTTTCCGGCCACACACCGCCGGGCAGCTCACCGCCGTTGTGTTCGCAGGTTGATCGGACGGACAAGGAGCTTGGTAGAAAGGAGTACGGGCTCTGCGGAATATTTGCTCCCCGTACAATTGGCGCCGTCTGTGGGAAACTTGATAGACTTGTCTTCCAAGTTCATCTGATCGCTTTTCATGGCGAACAACGACGAAATACCGTTGTCCGCCATCGATGGTGTTATCCTGGAATCAGCCAGATGGAGAGACGGACTCCCCACCGTTCAAAATATGGCGGACTTGGAGACTTCTCCAGGAGGACATTCAAGAGATGCGCGAGATAAGCGCGCTATAAGTTTTGGTCATTCACGGAGCGCAGACGGACACTAGCGGCGAAGAGAATCGCACGCCAGACGTTTGGAGCACAAGTTAAGGGACCAAGACACTATCATCCAGAGGATGGTGGCAGATATAGAGGCTCTCAAACGCCAGTTCAAGGGAAAGGGTGTTGCTGGAGTGGGAGACCACAGTGAGCGCACCCAACCCCACTATTCAGGCAGCCAGAGCCAGCGGCGCACTCCCTCCCTATCTATCATCAGAAGCTATAGGGGTGGAGACCTAGACATGCCTGCAGAGAAGTCTAGCGCGCAAGATAGTACCAACTGTCCCTCACGTTCGGTGACCACTTCGGGATATTCTTACTCCGTCTGTTCCGAGGACTCGAGGGATGTCCTGAAGGAGGGAGCTCGCTGACACGAGGCCGAAAGGGTGCCAGCGCTCCAGCGGCTATCTTACGGGGGTCATGCCAGCGAGGAGGTCGTAATGCCGCCACCCCGCCCAGCCGTGCCTCTCTCTCTAGACACCGATTTGGCGAGGCTGAACGCCACCCCCTTTTCCCTTGAGATAGAAATCACACCGCTCCCCGCGGGCTTTCACCAGCCCAAGTTTACGCTCTACGATGGAAAAATCGATCCATATATACATGTAAGCCACTTCCGGCAGGTCATGGCCGGACATAGGCGCAATGACGCTCTTATGTGCCTTATCTTCCTATCGAGTTTGGGCGAGCTGGGCTTGAAATGGTTTGAGAGACTGCCGGAGGGAAGTATCGAGAGGTGGCAGTAGTTGGCAGAAGCCTTTGTGACTCGTTTCAAGACCAATACTAAAACGCCAAAGGAGGTGGACCACCTTCTCAGTGCCAAAATGGAGTCGAGCGACACACTTAAGGCATACAACTCCAGATACTGAGAAACCTTCAATAAGATTTTAGATTGCCCGATCAACCTGGCAATCACCCAATATAAACGCGGTCTCCCAGTCGAACATAGGCAGCGGGACTCGCTTACCATGAACCAGCCGACATCCATGGGCCAACTAATGCAACGCATCAATGAGCACATCCGAGTAGAAGATGATGTGGCGACGTCCATCGCGAAGACAACTCCAGTGGTAACAGACAAAAGGTCGGCTGGCAAGGTACACGCGGTCGGACAGGAGACTAACTATCCAAATGATCGTGCCGAGAAATCTGACCATGGATCAAATCATCGAAACCAGGGAAAGGGTCGTCGAAATGACCGAGCTGAATACCCCCACGATGACGTAGCTGATGCTAACAGAAAGTTGAAAGCTCGGACAGGCATCACCACGGTCTTTAAGATTCCAATCTATCGCATACTTAGTGAAATCGGTGATGAGGATTATGTCTGGTTTCCTGCTAAGTTAGGCGATGCGCAAAAGGGCTTCAATCCGCGGTACCGCTGCACATTTCACCGGGAGCCAGCACATCGGACAGAGGACTGTTTGCCTCTGAAGCAACACTTGGAGGAGTTAGTCGTAGTCGGGCACTTAGATCTTTACATTGATGGGGGTGTTAAGGCCGCACATTCCGTCCCCGCTGATCCGCATGGACCGGAGGACTTGGAGGCGCCTCCTCAAGGAGTGGTTAATGTGATCCACGGCATAGTGGAGCCGACGCGTGTATGCGAGCTCCAAGGGATGATCAAAAAGGCGGAACACATGAGGGAAGTTTTGTCAGTCCAGCCCGCGATCAAAAGGGGGAAGACCGAGGAAAAAAACGTGATTAGTTTCTCCATAAGGGACCTAGAGCACATTCAAACACCGCACAATGACGCCCTAGTGGTCACCCTCCGCGTCAAATAGTTCGATGTCAAGCGCATCTTGATTGACTAGGGAATCTCGGTTGAAATTATGTACTACGACGCGTTCAAACAACTCAAACTCCGAGACATAGACTTGGCTCCAGCAACTTCGCCACTGGTAGGTTTCAACTCGCAACCGGAGTAGCCTTTGGGAAAAATAATTTTACCGGTCAAAGCCGGATCCGTGGTCAAGCAGGTGGAGTTTTAGGTATTGCAGGTGCCGTCTACATACAATCTGATCCTCGGTAGAGGCTGGCTTCACGCTATGCAAGCTGTAGCGTCGACCTACCACCAGGTTATGAGATTCCCCTTGGCTATGGGGGAAATTGAGGAAATTTGGGGCGATCAACTCATGTCGAAGCAATGCTTCGTGGTAGTGAACGGGAGCTGAGCTGCCAAAGGCTTCGTGCAAATGATTGAAGCCCCAAAAGACCAGAGTGTCCTTGATGACGTGGGCACTAGGGCTGAGGACAAAGCTGTTGAAGAATTGGTAGAAGTACGGATCGACACGGAAAGTCTAAACAAGTTCTTTTTGCTCGGATCAAGCTTGACTGCTCAAGAAAGGACCGAGATGGTAGAGTTCTTGATGGCAAATATCGAAGTCTTTGCATGGTCGCCCTACGACATACCTAGCATCGATCCAAGTTTTATTTGCCACCAACTCAATGTTTTCCCTAATGCACGGCCAATCATTCAGAGAACAAGGAGATCAGCTCTTCATCACGCCGAGGTAGTCGTGGAGGAGGTAAGGAACTTTCTTGAAGCACGGGCTATTCAGGAAGTGCACTACCCTCGGTGGATTTCAAACACGGTCATAGTACCCAAGAAGAATGGGAAGTGGCGAGTTTGTGTCGACTACAAGACCGTCAACCGAGCTTGCCCTAAAGACAGTTTTTCGCTGCCCAAAATAGACCAGCTGGTGGATTTAACGGCCGAACATGAAAGGCTCAGTTTCTTGGATGCCTACCGCAGTTATCATCAGATCGCCATGCATAGCCCCGACCGCGAGATAACCTCTTTCACTACCCCAAGGGGACTATTCTGTTATCGAGTCATGCCTTTTGGTTTGAAGAACGCCGGGGCGACTTTCCAAAGGATGGTGACCAAGATGTTTGCTTCTCTGCTTGGCCGGACGATGGAGGCCTACATCGATGACATGGTGGTCAAAAGCAAGCAACAAGCTGA